CTTAGATAGGAAACACTTAGAAACAGGGTAGAAAAAAAGTGCTTTGAGTGGTCAAAGCAGAAACACATTATATAAGAACCAATCCCTTTACCACTACTATCTTTGTTTCACCTTCCAATCATGTCAAAGTAGAAAAAAGTGAAGCAGCATTACAGGTTAGACTAAAGGAAAATGTTGTCTTCCCTCAGGATGAACCTGATATGAACAAACGACTGAATCTGAGTGCAGAGGAGGGTGAGACATACTCGCTCCCGACTCCACGATTCTCTTCTCTATTAAACATCTTTTTTCTGGATTTTTGATTACAATGTTTATAAAGGGAGATCTGATCTAAACTAATCACATTGGCATGTTTTGCTCGCATGCTCTTTCAAAAATGCCTCCACATTTTCTGCCTTGTTAAATTTCCATGCATCTCAATGCTGCCTGCAGGTTCTCGGTCACCCGGGTCATCATAGTCTAAGGAGCTTGGTAAGAAAAGCTCCTGGACTGGGTGTTTCTTGGAAATGTAAAGGACTTAAAGAAGTCCAGGAGCTTTTCTTACCAAGCTCTTTAATTTATTCTGATTTGACCCCTAACTGACTGGAAAAGCATAAAAACACAATCTTAATGAAAATGCTCTTACTGGTGGGGACATCATGAAGACGATTATTCTTCATTTCTTTTTCAGAATCCGCTGCAGAAAAGAAGCACGCGCTTTTTGGTCGACCCCGGATGATGCAACCTGACCAAAGTTATTGCATCCTCTACCAGGAGGGATTCATCAGCGCCTATAGCCACGAAGCCCTGATGCCCCTGTGGAGCTCTTTCACCATCGACAAGCCTGTAAGTCCATTGACTGGTGATAAGATGTAATGTTTTGGGTTGTTTTTTGGAGAGGAGGGTAGTTATCTAATTACAAGTTTTGGCTTCAGATTGATATAAAAGTTCAATGTGAAGACACATAGATAATCAGTAGCTCTATAAAACTCCATTTGAAAAATCTTATATGACAAAAAAGAATTACTGACCCACAGTGAATAAGATTTCTGCAGTTTCCACATGAATCATGAATCATGGATGGTGTGAACGTTGGAGAAACTTGCAGCATTTAAAATTTCCGATTCATTCCAAGGGGGGTTTTAGAGGAAATGAGTCTGATTGTTTCCATCGATTCACTCTTGTAGAATGAAAATCTGGATACACTTACCATTTTATAATTATGATTATTTTAGGATTAGCCTCTGTCAGTGCGCCCCAGGGTGGCTGTGGCTACAATGTAGCTGCCA